GGTCTGTGTGTGGGGGCATGGGGGCTGTGTGGGTTGCCAAGCACAAACCTTCCAAAAAGTATGTTGCCATAAAGATATACGAGCTTGACAAATGTGGAGATGAACTGGAGCTTATACAGGTAAGTGAGTTTGGTTAGATCTTTGGGACTTTTGCAGGTGCTCATGATACCAACATTTTCTAATAGAAAGAGTAAATAATTATTTAGATGGAATTTTTTGATGAGGTTTGAGAGAAAATTTAGAAATAAAGTTAAAGTATATATTTTTTGTCATAATTTGTAAGGAAATTTCCAGATATGTATGCTTATAAAATAGTAATATTATGAATAGTAATGATTGTGATAATGATAATGAGTTATTACTAATACTATTACTAATAATTCTGATAAAAAAAAAATGTTGACGATAATGATATGAGGGAAGATTGGAAATGTGATTTTTATCTTGGTCATTTAGGTAGAAGTAAAGCTTAATTGCACTTTCTTAATTTGTAAGATATTATGAGTAATGATTATGATAAGGAAAATTAGAAATTATGATACAATAACTAATTTTGATAGATATTTTAATAATTTTAATGAAGATAATGTGTAATGATGACAATAATATTAATACTGATAATTTGGTACCGATGATAAAAATCTGTTAATAATGATGATGATAATTTAGTGATAGTAATAACAATGATTATGATGATAGCAATATTAATGTTAATATAGAATGAAAATTCTATTAGAAGGTGCAATGAAAAATTAATCAGGCTGGCTATCTATGTAAGATTATCTCTCATTTCCGTCCTGTCTCTTTCAGCACGAAATTAGAACAGTGAAGCAGTTACGGCATCCAAACATAATCCAATACATGACATCATTCACAGCTGCTCAACAGCTATGGATAATAATGCCCTTCCTCGGCTACACCTCCGCTTCTCGTCTCGTAGCCACTCATTTCTCTGAGGGTCTCCCAGAGCCTGCACTTGCTCTAATAGTCAGGGAGGTACTGCAAGGTCTCAGCTATTTGCATTCAAAGAATATCATCCACAGGTTAGTTGGAAGTACATTGTTTATGTATGTATGTATGTATGTGTACACACACACACACACACACACACACACACACACACACACACACACACACACACACACACACACACACACACACACACACACACACACACACACACACACACACACACACACACACACACACACACAAAAAAACTGGTTCATTGTAGAAACCCAAATTTTATTGAATTAGATGTTTTTATTTTTCTGTCAGAGGTCCTGCTTTCGTTAGAATCAGGTAAATGCTTAAACAGCTATTATTTATTTTCATTAGTCTTTTAAGTAACCATTTCTTTTCAGAGCTGTTCGAGGAAGCCACATTCTGATTGACAGTAACGGACGTGTTATACTCACTGGCCTGCGTCACAGTGTCACTGTGGGAGATAACATGAGATGGCAGAAGACAGTGCACTGTTATCCTCCCCAGGCACGCTATAATTTGAACTGGGCAAGTCCCGAGCTGCTTGAACAGGTATGGCAGCCTAGTTTTGGATTGTTGGTTTACTATCTCAGATTGAAAATAATTGGTATTTACATGGGGACTAGTTATGTCTCTCAATTTGTTTACTTTATTATAGGCCTATTTTATATACCCTATTTTTGCTTTATGAATCCTGTCTCAATCCTTTATATTGTTTGGCAAGCATTTACTTAGACCACTAAAGTCCTTTTCTTTGGTTTTCACTGTGAAGAGATTGAAACGGCCTTCTCATAGTATCAAAGTGTGTAACTTCAGATTTGATGTAATAAAGAACAGATAATAAAAGTAGAAATGAAATGGTTACAAAATCATTCTAGTAATGTTTCTGTTTTGTCATGAATAAAAGTGGATAATTGTGTTTAAAAGATCAAGTTAAGAACATGAAAACTGAATAATTCATTTATATTTTGATATAATAATGCAGCTTAGAAAAGGTGGTGTTCAATATAGTCTTGTTTTGTGAAATGTGTCTATGCATAAATGGTGCCACAAGTACCCAGGCACCAGAGATTCAGTTAGTAGTCTACAGGACCTCATCTGATTTTCCTGTTCCTTGAATTATTATTTTTTTGATGCTATTAATATCAATGCTATTATTATTATAGACTATGATTATTACAGTGTTATTAGCAATACTAATTACAATATAAGATAATATATTATTTCCAAATAATCTAGGAAAATAGTAGAAAGTTGGACTAGTGAGTGACTCATTAGTGACTAAACACTTGCTTTTGTAAACTAAACACTTAATGGGCATGGCATGTACAGACATGCCATCCCTGGTGGCAGTGGGTTAATCATAAGGTCAATTTTTTTCATCTTAGTTAACATTTATTGATATTTTTTTTGACCAATGTTAAGTCTCTTTGTTCCCTTTTTTGTCTTTTAAGTGGTTTTAAGGCAGAAGAAAGTTAGAATACTGCAGATTATGAAAGCAATACCACAATGGCCCAAACTCCGGGCATAAGGTTTACTTTAGTGGCCTCTCTTAAGTGTGTGGCTTGTAAACTGGGCACACTCATGTATTTACAGTGTTATTATCTCTTTTTCTGCATAATCTATTTTGCTGTTTTGTCATTTGATATACTATATTCAGTACATTACATGTAATATGATGCAGATTAATTAATTGAAGTCAATTCTTGATGTATTACTCTCCTAGAGTCATCAGTATAGTTGACCTACTTGATTAAATAATTTTGTAACTTCTTTTTTCCCTCATAAAAAAGAAAAACAGATTTAGGCTTCTTGAGGCAGTAGTACAATTACCATGTACCCATTATTTAAATTTTTAAAATCTGATCTTAATTTGCAGGATCTATATGGATACAATGAAAGAAGTGACATATACAGTGTTGGCATTGTAGTGTGTGAATTAGGGAATGGAGAGGTGCCCTATCGTGGAATACCCTCAACACTCATGCTGTTGGAGAAGTTGGAGGATCGCGTGCCCTTCCTATATGATGCCTCGACGGTGCCACAGATTGCGGAGAATGGCCAAGGTTGGGGTCAGTTGCATTGTGTGTAGTTAAATTGGATGCTGGTGACAAAATGCAAAGAAGAGTGTATAATTATTGCTTGCTAGAAATCCAAGATGAATATGAATATAGTACTGAAGTATGTGAGGTTGCATAGCTCAGTGGTAGAGCGCTGGCTTTGTAAATGCTGGTTCTTGGGTTTGCACCCGGTTGTCCTCTTAATTGATTTGTCTATGAGTACAGGAATGCTTACATCAGTATTCTGGGGCTCATCATCCCATGACTTAGTGCACATTCCTTTACAAACAGGTCTCCTATATCCATTTGGATGTGAAACCAACTTTGACTTTGAGTAAAGTATGAAAAAGTATGACCATGATCAGGTATGGTTCAGAAGTTTAAATGCTCCAAATGCATTACTAAACATTTACTACAAATTCAGGATTTAGTTTATCTTGTACATTAAGGGCAGTGACCTTTGTATATTCAATATTAAGGCCATAAATCTATATTTTATATGAATGCTTTATTTCTCTGTGTTAGTATTAAAGATTTCCCATGATGGTACTGGTAAGTTACTGAAAAAAAATCTGATTAATGTTTTTTCATTTTAACACATGTAAAGGATAAAGTAAATTTCAAATGTGTGAACTTTGTCATACAGAATTTATAGTCAATATCATATAGATTTGCCACTTTGCAGCAAGACAATCCCAGTGTGTTAAAGTTTACCATATTTTCAAGTATTTATTTATTGACCTTGTTTCTGGTCAACAGGAATGGCCACAGACTCAGGCGTTGGAGGGAGTGTGGGAGACAACCTGACCAGCTTGGCCATCACGCAGCGTCTTTTCTCTCCTGCGGCTCATGACCTGGTAGCTCTGGCTTTGACCAGATGCCCTGAACAGAGGCCTACAGCAGATGAACTCTTGCACCACCAGTTCGTTAGGTACACAAGAAAACTTAATGGAACTCTTCCACAGTATCTCCATCCAGTAGTGCCCATCACCCAGCAGACAGAAATAGGTGAGTGTTTAAATTCACATGGATATTTCCTCAAGAATGGATATGGAATTAGAAAACTGCATGAAAAGCCCATACATATCCATGTCATGAAAAGATTTGGCTTGAGGGGCAGGTGATGTGAACATCCTGTTATGGGGAAATCTGGCTGTGGACTATAGGGCAGCGTGATGGGTAAGACTCCCCATGAGCGAACAAAGCCCTTGGAGGGTGATTAGACTTATTTGGTGGTTATTAAGAGGCCTTTGCATTATTCCCATTGATAAATGAGTGTGGAATGTAATGTTTGTGAACCATGACTGGAAGAGTGCCAGCTCCTGGGAGGATGCTGTTTCTGTACGCAAGATTCTGTTCCTGGTTGCCATGAGTGGTGGCATAGGTTGTATTACAGAATATGAATTATGAAAAAAAAGACGAAAAAAACAAAAAACAAAATATTACTTATTATTATTATTGTACTCAATTACAGACTACCTAGAGAGATAATATGGAGTCGGTGCAAGGAAAACAGTCTGTTACCATCTGGATAAAGCAAATCAAATGACAAACATTGACATTGAAAAATGGGATAAAAGCTAAAAACACTTATACAGAAAAAGTCAAAATAACATTGCAAAGGGAAGGCATGGAGTCTTGTCACTGCACATGAGAGTTTGTTTGCACCTGGCCTATAAGCCATATGTCCATCTGAGTGTCTGCTAATGCCCATATTTTGGGTCAGGCGATGGCATTGAAACATCTGGATCTAATGGGTTAAAAAGGAGTAAATGTATAGCCAGTGACACTCCAGACATTACACATCCTAGACTCTACACAAGAATTAACATGATGATGTTGCATAGAGTAAATGTAAATCAAATGAAGAAAGTTGAAAATAGAAATGTTGCCATTCAATTACTTTCCAATTTGGAATGTGGAATATGAAATGGAAAAGCTCAATAAAGTACAATATAGTACTCTTGAGATATGAAAAAGATTTCTAACAGTACAGCATTTGACTCGGTGTGTAGGAGTCAGGGATGAAATGTTCCAGAGTGTAAGTAGATATGTGGGGGAAATGTTTCTAAGGTGGAGGGGCAGGTGCTCGAAGAAAGGAAGTGGGAAATGAGAAGAAGGAAGTAAGAAAGGGTAGGGAACCTGGAGGAGGAGCAATAGGGAAGGGAAGGAAGGAAGTAAGAAAGGATGGGGAGCCTGTAGGAGAAGCAGTTGGGAAGGGAAGCAAGGAAAGAGGGAAAGAAGGAGGGAGGGAGGGAAGAAAGGAAGGAAAGAAAGGAAAGAATGAGGTAAGGAAGGAAGCAGGAAAGATTGAGGAGGGAAGGAAGGAAGGAAATAGTAAGGAAGTAAGGAAGGAAGGGAGGGAGGGAAGGAAGAGGGAAGAAAGGAAGGAGGAGGGAAGGAGGAAGGAAGGAAGAAAGGAGGAAGGAAGGAAGAAGGAAGGAAGAAAGGAGGAAGGAAGGAAGAAGGAAGGAAGGAAGGAAGGAGGAAGGAAGGAAGGAAGGAGGAAGGAAGGAAGGAAGGAAAGAAAAAGAAGGAAGGAAGGAAGGAAGGAAGGAAAGAAAGAAAGAAGGAAAGAAGGGAAAGGAATGAAGGAGGGAAGGAAGGAAAGAAAGAAAGGAGGGAAAGAGGGAGGGAGGGAAGGAGGGAAAGTGGGAGGGAGGAAGGGAGGGAAGGAAGTAAGTGAGGAAGGAAGGAAGGGAAGAGGGAGGGGGGATGTTATTAACATTCTGCATATTATTCCATATTCTCTGTCAACGATTTTAGTCTGCATACTACATTATAATCAACATATATACAAGGAAAACACAGAATCTTAACCAGTAGTAGAAATTATATATGGCTAGCAGATGTTCACACATGAAGTTTGCTGAGGAGCATTGGACATTTAGTCAAAAGTGCCACCGGCTGTATGTACACAGTTTAGGCACCAAATTGAATATGAGAAAAGATACAAAATATAAACATTTATACAGTATGCATTGGTAAATGTCACTCGATAGTAATGGTAAATGTCACTGTATAGTAAGAAAGAAAAAAAGGTGTAAGACCATATGAAAAGCATTGAATGTAAATGCATAGTTAAAATGTAGACTATAAACTATAGACTTTCGAGCTTCTTTTCAGGTTATAAAATCAGGTACTTCACTACTTTATAGTTTATATATTGCTTGCAGTGTTTTTTATATTCAGTAACCAGAGCCAACTTTGTGTAGTAATGATTCTTCTGAACTTTGTTGTTTGAGACTATGCCTTAATCGCTCACTAATAAAATTTGGATGATAAAGATAGAATGAAAATATTGGTGTAAAGTTTTAAATTAGTATTACATATTCTCTACAATCAAACAATCAAGACATCCTAGTCTGGATCTCTGAAGTTGTAATTAGTAAATAAAAAGCCATTTGGAGTAGGGTTTTTTCACAAAATTAGCATAGATAATGACTTCCAGAAATTATATTGCATAATAACATGTTATCTTTTCCTTCCAGGTGATTCTGTTCCAGATCTTCTTGAAGAAAGTTTAGACCAGATAAGCTTGAACGACGAAGTAACCTGGGACTTTTAAATTCACAAAATATGCCTTATTGTATATTTAGTCAAATTATCAAATTGTTCCATTTTAAATAAAACATATAATTTTCCTTATATATATATCTCATTTTTTTTTTCTTTGATTATTATTTTTTGTGTGTATGTACAAGTAAAATACCAATGAAATGTTATATTGTCTCTCTTCCTCTTTAGGTTGACAGTTATTGAAGAAATTGTTATATTTTATCATGTAAGTGCAGTATGCTTTCACTTACCTGCTTCTCTATATTGTAGCTATTTACTGTATAGCTAATGATATGTACTTGTATGTACAAATTAGATTTTTAAAAAATGTGGCTTACATAAAAAGAATGTATTTTAGGCATTGTGTATGAAAAAGAAAAATATATTCAGAATATTCCTCTTGATTAAAAGGGATCCACAAACATTTATTTACATAGTTTTCATTCAAAGCATCCTCATGTTGTCTTTCTTCATGTTAAGAGAGAATACAACAGTGCTTTCATTTTTATATGACTCCTTCACAGTCTATTATCTCAAAGGCAATAAACGCAATAATCAGATAGAGGATACTGGTCTGTGAGAACAGAAACTGCAATTATTTCAGTGTAGGAGAGCTATTATGAAACAATCAACAAGTGATATGGGTAAAAATGGGTGTCGGAGAAGTAGGAGGAGAACAAAGAAGAGCATTAGGAGGAATGTCAGGTGGGGGAGGATCTAAGGAAGGACACTGTTGTGACAAAAGGGAGCCATGTGTGTATCCAGGAGGAGGGGAATAGGGAAGGAAGAGGGGTTGGTGCAGATTGAGCAGAGGGGGATGGGATGTGTTGGGAGGGAGTGGGAAACACGAGTAGATACTGGCAGTCACTTGAGTCGAGAGAGATTGGAGGGTGGATTAGGGATATGCATGTTTTTGTTGTTTTTGGTTATGATTAGAAAGTTTGAATATTCTCAAAGAGTTTCTGAAATGGAGTGAGGTGGGGAGGTTTGAGAAACAGGATTTCTTATGAGGGAGAGAAGAGGGGACAGACATCTGACTAGCGGAGGAAGAGGTAGGTGTAAGAGAGGAAGTGGTAGGAGAAGGTAGAGTGTAATGTTTAGATTGTCTGGTGCATTGGATAGAGTGAGAAGGAGGGGTAGGCCCAGAGGAAGTGTTAGAGATTGGAGTGTCATTTTAGGAAGGTACAGTAAAGGGTAGTGAAGGGTGGTTGAGTTAGTAGTTAGTTGCTATAAGTCAGATATCTAGATTATTATTGAAAAGGTTAAAGATGGGTAAAGGAGTTGGGTTAGGTCAGGGGAATTAGATCAAGTGAAGGCTATGTATATGTCTGAAGAAGGAGAACAGGTTGTCAAAGCAAAGTGTGAGATTCTGTTAGGATGTCTGATAGGTTGGGAGGTCAGTGAAAGGAGGATAGGTGGGGAAAAGCAGAGGTACGGGCTGCATCAAAGTGTAGACAGGATAAGAGAATGTGTAGAACTGTAAAAGGGACATCACATAGGGTGGATCAAAATATGACCACAGTTAGGAGTGTGTTAGAAGGGTAATACGTAAGTAAGGCCAATACGTAAGTGGGCGAGAGCTGTCTCCTGTCTGTTCCAATGAAATGGAGCTGACCAGGGGGAGATTGATAGTTTTACAGTATGTAATTTATTAGTGCGGAGACTTGACCAGAAAGATTGCCGTTGGGTATACAGGAAGGTCTTAAAGTAGGGGTAATAATCCATGGCTGGAATGCATGAGAAGCATGGTTGTTGTGATGAGGACATTGCGGTGTAGTGTACTAGAGTATCTGTCTGTTCATTGCCTGGGACTCTGACATGGCTGGGCATTCAGCAAAATCTGCTAGATTTATGGTATGTGGACAGGTAGAACAACCAGTTCTGGATCTTTACATTTTGAGGAGAAGGGGGAGGGGCAGAGCATAGGACAGCAATGGAGCAGGTATTAAGGAGGAGGTAGTAGTAGCAACGTTCATCTATGATCAAAGGAGAGCCAGAGGTGGAACTGGAAAAAATAAATCATTGGAGCTATTTGATAAGGGGACAAGCCTCAATTCCCCCAAAAAAGACACAAAATCATTATTGGTCATGGTAAGCTTGGAGTATGTGGGACGGATAACGTTCACTCCTCAAGGGGACCCTGAGGGGTGAACCATCTCTCTTTTTCCACATAAGGGCTGGATAACTAATCAGGAATACAATGCCCTTAGTTCCTTGAGGCTGTTCAGGACTTACCTAAAGCCAGCCTTTTATCCTTTCAACATGGCTTTCACAACTTTGAAAGTGGACAGCAGAAGGGGTTGGAGAAGAGTAGGAAAAGGAAAGAGGGGGGAAAAGAAGACTGCAAAATTGGTTGAGTCCAAGGTAGCTCTCCAGTCCTGCAGGATAATCTCATGGAAGAGTTGGTGTTATGATGACCAGGGAAATTGCAAAAGCATTTCAAGCATAATTATTCTAGTTAATATAGCAGGAACACCATTTAATATCAAAATAATTCAGATATATGCATTGACTACAATGCATGGGAATGGTGAAACTGTTTAATGGTTTGAATAACTAGATAAAGTTAAATCAAAATGTAAGAAGCAAAAAATCAATATCATGATGGGTGGTATGACTGAAAAAGTAGGAGAACAGGGAGATAGGTAAGGAATAAGCAATTTTGAACTAGGGACCAGAAACCAGAGAGGAGGAAAATTTAAGTGCAAACTTACCCAAACCATAATATATATATATATATATATATATATATATATATATGTGGTTCAAGCACCATCTAAGACTGGCCTTCAAGAAGCCTGAGGTGAATATAAAAATCAAATTGATCATATCACAATTTACAAACTTGATAATGCAACAAGTAAAACAATGCTGGCGTGGATTGTGGGATAGCCTGTGACCATGCCGTAGTTGTTGCAACAATTACAAAAAAAATTAGGAAAATTGAAAAGCACTGTAAAGAATGCAAGATATGATGAAAGGCAAAATTTGAAGTGGAGGTATGTAAAAGATACCAAATATGAAATTGTGGAAAAGAATGACAGAAATGAAATAGTAGAAGAATGGGAATGGCTTTAAAAATTATTAGACTGAAGCAAAGAAGGCTTTAGTTCTGAAGGAAGAAAAACAAATGTGGATGACAGAAGAAATCCTGGATCTAACAGACGTGCAAAGAAAATTAATGGAATAGAGACATGAATAATAAAAAGAAAGAAAGAATTGGAATGGATCAGATTAAAATGTGAAGAAAAAGAACACCTTGAGTGAAAAAATATCCAGATAATAAAATATAATAAAATCAAATGAAGCTTGTAAATAGAAGGGAATCAATGTTAATGCCAGAAAAAAAAAACATTGGTTATTGCAACACAAATGTGGATAATTCTTGCACATAAAATAATTAAGCAAGATTAAAAAAAAATAACTTGGATCCATTATAACTGATCAGAAACTTTTGAATATTCTCAAAGAGTAGCAGATCTGATCGAGACAAACAATGAAAGAGGACTGGCAAAATTAGCTTCTGAAAAGTTGAGAAAATGTCTTAACTAACACTATAATGAGATCAGCATTTCTGGCTTCTGTAATGTTCTGTGTGGTAAATTCCAATGTATAGCAGTGAAGCTTGTATCAAAAGTACAGTAATGCAAAAAGAGAACAGAGGCACAGGAAATGTGATTCCTAAGCAAAAAATGGTAGACTAGTCAGATTACCAAAGAAGTGCTGAGACCCCAAATGGACAGAACAATAGAGCAAGACAGTTATTATGTTTAGGACAAGTACTTTAGAAGAGGAAGACTAGAGACATAAGGAATGAAAGCAAGTGTGCTGCAAAATGGGGGGGGGGGGGGGGGGGGGGTTGATGCAAGTTGATGAGAGTGGCAGAAAATATAGATATGGCATTCATGGTCCCTGACATCAAAGACATGGCATGTTGATAAGGTAAGGTAAAGCAAAAATATACTGCCTCACTGCAATGATATTTGGCAGATCTATGCAACACACATTTTTTTTTTTGTAAAGTTGGGGTGGGAAGGTTACACCTGTGTTCCATGCCTTCATTATTATTTTTTAAACTCTTAAGACTGATATGGATGCTTCAAACCCACACCCATTAAAAATTGGAAGAAACCAATTTCAGCAAAAAGTTAAGAAGACACTATCCTTAATGTCACAACAGTAATTAAACAAGCACAAATTTACACACTTTTAAAATTCAATATATCCTTAACTTCTATAAAAGGTCAGAGAAAGGTCTACAACAAAGAAATTAACAATATATATTTCTACACATTTCTATAAACTTTACAAATGCATTTAGGCATTAAAAAATAACTCCCTGAACAAGAGAACACATAAGCATTTGCTACACTTCAGGGTACACTACAGGGCCACCATTTTCAAGCCAATCCTCATATGAACCTACATAAACCCTGAAAATGGAAAACAAAAAAGCATTAAAACAAAAAGAGTGACAATATAAGACCTGTTATCTAGGGGAAAAAAAAGGCTATATTATTATATATTTCAGTTTATCTCATCATTTTAACACTTATACTGTATTTTTTAAGCCAACATAAAATAATAATAAAATTCCATATAGTTATTTCAGCTTCAACAATTACTAAAACACCCTGATGTTATGAAAACTAATATACTCTAACTATACATTCCAATATAATTAGTAAGGGAATATATATATGTATCTTACAAACTAGAGAGGTTAAAGCTGGTGTTATCTTCCCTCCAAAAAATATTCTTCCCTTTCCAAAGCACACCTTATTTGCCTTTCTAAAGTACATTTACTTGCCTTCCTAAAGGCATTTTTACCTTTCTGAAGAAGACTTTTTTTACCTTTCAAAGAAACACCTAATCTTTTAAAAGAAACTTTATTTTATCTTTCTGATGATCATTTAAAAAAAAATTTCTTGCCTTTTTGCATACTTTCTTAGGTCTCTAAATTGTATTTTTCTTTCTACTATTTCAACAAAATTTTCTACCCTCTCTATAAAATAAAGTTCTTACTTTTCTAAAGCATACTTCCATACAGTGCCCATTGTTTTTTTCTTTGTTTTAGTTTCTTTTTAAATTCATACATGGCTTCTTAAGCACTTAACTCATCCTTAGATTTCTAGGAAAATTTGCTTTTAATTACAATATAACTATTATTAATATCCATAGTGTTATGATAATAATAATGATTATGATAATAGCATTAATTTGAATAAAACTCAAGGAATGGGGTAAACAGGCAAGATGTGCTAGGCCTAGTAAGAGACTACTCAGTGACTAGGTGGTTGAAAATTCACAGTGGACATGTACCCTTTATCAATAGGTTTAAGACCACTTTCTTAACTTTCCCAGAATACATCCTTACCTAACATTTTTATAGCCAGCTCCTATCATAGCCAGCTGAGCCGTCCTTGCACGAATACCACCCAGACACATTACAACGATAGGTTCCTCAACGTCAGGTTTCTCGAACCCAAATCTGTCAGTAAAGTCTTCTTCTGGGAGCAGGATACTTACTCCTAATGCTTGTACTGAAATATGATGGTAAAAGGGGGTGACTTTTATATCAATAACTGGGAAAATAAGTAAATAAATATATCTGATTTTACTAAAGGAAAAAGAGATGACATACTTTGTCTGCCACAATATTATTTTAGTCACACTTGAGAAATAGATCTGCAAAAGGTCTTGGATATGATGTGTTGCAGAATTGAATGAAGGACTTAACCCAACCACCACAGATTTACATTCTGCCATGTATTTTTTTTGTGAATTTTGTTACATACAGATGGCTCCACATGTGCTCTACTGACAAGGAGTCTATCAGTAGGCCCTAGCAACCAATCTTGATTTTCCTATTCCTTGCATAGGTGGGAAAATGTGTTTTTCTCTTAAATGCAAATGATATTGATACTTTTATTATTGTTATTGATGTTATGATTAATAAATTGTTACTTTAATCTTGGTAACATTAAAGACAATGATATACAAAAGACCCTTTTTAAAAGTCAAGGAAAAGGGTAAATAGGTGAGATAGGTAGGACTAATAACTGACTCCTTATAGAGCCATCTATGTGTAAATACAATGTATAAACTTATACTACAGTGGGCATATGGTATGTATTCTTGCCATCTGTGTTAACTGGGTTAAAATGGTTTTTAAATTTTTCTTTTCTTCTCTTTTTCTTTCTCACACTAGGTTATCCTCTCACATTTTCATTTCCATAATAGGTTAGCTGAATTCAGTACTTACAAAATATGTTCTTTGATTTTGGGACCATTCCATTTTCATACAGTTCCTTTGGGAGGCGAACATCAATCAGCGTCACACCATCTTTATCTAGCTCTTTTTTCAGCTCAGCAAAGTCAATATCTGTAGAACCAAAAGTAGGAAAGAAATATGGATTTTAAACAAGAACAAAACCTAAATCTGTGGGAAAAAAAAAGTATACTAGTCGAAGTTACAGGACCCCATTGGTCTTCATAAATGCTCTTCATTGCTGACATAAATTTTTCAGCACAACTATACATGCAGTTTCTTGGTTATAATATTGAGCTGCCTATAAGTAAAGTCAAAATACCCCTTGAACTGTGACATCTCTACACATATAACGGAAAGAACTGAACCAGACAATAAGCAACCAGTATTTTTAAGAAGAGTAAGAATAAGAGGAAGAAGACAACAAAGAAGAAGCAGAGGAAGAAGACAATGAAAAAGAAGATAAGTTTTACAATAGGTCAACATTATAATCCTTTATGGCAAATCTGGACAAATATCAACCCTGATTTTCATGGCTGGCAGTCAACTACATTTATCTATCACTTACTACTGCTCACAATGCCTTATTACAAGAATCTTTGATAAACTCAGGAGCTAACCTAATATGAACATGGAACTTTGACTAAATTTCCTCTTAAATAACAAATCATTATTCATCGCAATCTAACTACCTGATAAAATATCTGTATAGCATTTCCTTGACTTCATTACATATTTACTACTTTACTACATATTACATATTTACTAAACTTACCCTTTGGAAGAGAAGGTAATGACGAAAACCTGTATGAAGACTGCAAACTGATTTTATTCATACATCTCACTTGTCCTTGAATCAGAAGGGGTATGCGTGCAAGTCGATTCATTTCTGAAAGAATATAATGATATCCATCAGTTTGAGTATTGTATTTAGTTCATGGATAGGAGTCCGTAAACTTGACACTGGACCTACTAATAACATTTTGGGTAAAATACCCAGGTTAAATATGCGAGAAACTGATGAACTGGTTTCAAAGCTATGTGTTTTTACATACTCTATAAGGACTACTGGATAAAGTAAGAAGCAATGGCAAACTAAATTAGGTTTCCATATTGACTAAGGTATATTCCTTACATATTTTCATCTACAAGTTGAACTTCACTAATCTGAGGCCATGTCCACTTGATCAGGCTTTCACAGTGGGCACTGAGCATTAGTGGCAAGTGCCCATCAGACCTGATCTGATACTACTGCCATTGAAGCAAGAGATATACCCTAAGGCATGCCTGACTGAGTGGATGAGCCTTATATTCCCTGATCCAGCAGATGCAAGACAGTGATTCTTCTTTGCTCTTTCTACTGATCTACTAACAAATAATCATGCATATACTTAATCCTTTACTTGTGTGGAGCTTGAAATCACAGTAAATAACATATCTCATGCACTAATTTACTGAAACTGCATTAAAGAAATGAAATATTAGACATACTAACCACTAGTTGATGAAAATTAAAGAACTAGAATGTATATGCAATGTTAATAGCTGAAACTACTTCAAAGCAATATAAGATGGTTACCATTGTCTATTATCAATATGTTGATTAAAGGAGTTAAATTTTCTGAGTTTTGTTCTTGTAACTATCTTGGTTGTCTTCTGTCCAAATATACAAAAACTTTATAATCTATAAAGGAAATTCTACAACAGCAATTAAAAAATATATATACATCATATAACTAGATTAATGGTATCTTCAATTCTGTCATTCTGTCTATTTTGCAATCTGTTTTTCTTGCACCTCATGGGAAAAACTGAACTTACTCCCATCTTTCCTTGATGGGAACGTAAATTTTTGTGCCATATGGGTCTAGGAAACTGAATTAACTCCCATTTTTCATTGATGGCCACCCCCTCCTCTTTTCCTTAAAATACAGTAACTCTATACCTGCTCCATGAACTGATACTGTCCAGAGAGAGAGAGAGAGAGAGAGAGAGAGAGAGAGAGAGAGAGAGAGAGAGAGAGAGAGAGAGAGAGAGAGAGAGAGAGAGAGAGAGAGAGAGAGAGAGAAAAACTTACAGCACAAGTGACAAATCACACAAATGAAAATAAATTAAAGTTGATACACA